AAGGCTGGAGATAGTAAATACTGTGTCTGTGTTCCAGTTCCCGGGAGTGTGGCGGCGCTGAGGCTGGCTGAGGGTCAGTGGTTTACTGGAAAAAGCTGCTTTTCCCTCTTGCCCTACGGTACTGCGTACAGCACTGCTCCTCCCACTGAACTGTGCACACACTCACCAAGGATGTTGCAAAATGCAGATTCAGAGGTAGGACCCTAGGGTGCTGCTGGGTGGCCACGAACAAGGGCATGGCGAGTGGCTGGCTTCGTGTTGGGCTGACCGGTGCAGGCGCCCACTTTGGGTTCTTTCTTGCACAGCGATGACGTTTGAGCCAGGGCAGTTCCCTCGTTGAACCCCAGCTTTCCTGGTCCCTGGGATGGCCCTGCTCCTGCTCACCCACTGCGGGCTCTCAGCGGTGCTGGGAACACCTGGCTTTGGTCTCTTGTATTCCTGGATTATTGATTCTGAGCATTTTGTGTGATAAAAATGTCCTGAACATAATAATATGTCCCTGGCAACTCTGGTTGCTTTGGCTTTAGAACAACTGTGCCCTTAAAATGAGCTGCCTTTTGTTTTTCCCTCTTTTGTCCCTTTTCCATCTAAGCCGTGATTATTTGGAAAGCTCCAGGAGTCGTGCCTGGCTGATGGTGCCCCATGCTGTTCGGCCGTGTTCTGGAAGCTTCCGTGCCACCCGCGCGCTGGCTGCATCCGTTCCCGGGATTGCAGCGAACGGTGACGCTGCCGCCACCTCTCCGGCAGGGCTGCCTTCCTGGGCAGCCGCGCTCGCCATGCTGGGGGCCCCGGTAGTATCGAGCCAGGAGTCGTTCCTGCACTCTGATGGACGCCGCCTCTCTGTTGCACAGGCCTGGGTAGATGGGGCAGTGTTGAAAAGCCCTTTATTTCTCTGACTGCAGCTTTATTGATTCTCCTTTAGGAAGTTTTCCTCTTTGATCCCCTGACTTGTGGCCCGTTCTTTGAGTCAGGGTTCCGGGAAATGTAAGGTCTTTCACTGAAACCCTTGGCTGTGCTGCCCGTCTCCTGGCATCTGGGTGAACACGCTCCTTTAAGTAAGACCAGACGCGCACTGTGAGGGCTCGGCCCCAGCAAACCCAGTTCCAAAGGTTGGAGACCTTGTCGCGGGCTGCAAATGGCAGGGATGGAGAGGATGTGCTTGTGAGGTGATGCAGCCACACACATCGAGGGAGGGGGATGAGGCTGGGTGGGGGGAGCAGCCCCACCGGGGGCTCCAAGTCGGTGCAAGGCCATGAGGCCCGCTCTGCTCTGGGACCCAAGCTCTGCAGGACTTCCAGATGCAGGACCTGGGCAGGGAGAGCAGACCCACAGTCTGCGTCTGCTGAGGGGTTTCTATGATGCAAGAGTGTCCAGGCTTCATCCTAGCAATCTTGACACCCAGGTGGGAGGGCTCCTGCGTCCACACTCCCGACACCCAGGTGGGAGGGCTCCTGCGTCCACACTCCCCACACCCAGGTGGGAGGGCTCCTGTGTTCTCACTCCCGACACCCAGGTGGGTGAACTCCTGCGTCCACACTCCTGACACCCAGGTGGGAGGACTCCTGTGTCTACACTCCCGACACCCAGGTGGGTGGGCTCCTGCACCCACACTCCTGACAAATTGGGTGGCCGGGCACCCTACGTCTGGCACACTTTGTTCATCTAGACTTGGTCTTAAACCATCCTCTACTTAAATTCTGAAAAATCGGGAGGGTCAGTTTGGATCAAATGACTTCACCTCTGAAACAAAAAGGAAGTGGATTCTTTTTTCCTTGTAAGTTCGTGATTTTTAGTGGAAAAAATAGCAATATCACCATTTTATTCTTCTCATAAGTGAAGCAGGACTTCAGACTCTATTTGAGGGATGACCCCTTTTCAGAAATTATAGGCACTGAATTTATCACCAGCCAGTCCTCGCTGTCCATCTGCTAATTCTCCCTACACAGAGGGAGCAGCTGTCATTTCAAAAATGCTACAGTAGATAACAAGGCGGGTGCGTTTCATTTTCAGAAAGTGCAGCGATTCCTGACTGCATCTCTGGTGTTGTTAACACAGAGATGCCAAATGGATGGAGAGACTGGAAGCGAATGGACTTGCTTTAAAAGGAGAGGCACTTCAGCGAGGTGCAGTACTACTGCAGTCCCTGGCAGCTGCACAGATCCGGGAGCCCCCGGAGCCAGAGGCATCCGCAGACACTGCCGTCCCAGCGCCCTGCACTCACACAGGGGGTCCTCAGCCACACAGCCTTGCGTGCCCACGGGGAGAGCCACCGCCTCCGGCCCTGTCCACGTCTGCTAGCTGCCCTGGCTTCCCTGTGTCTTCTCCTCACTTGGATGAACTTAGATGCCAACTTCCCTCATGCAGTGAGAACATCTGAGTTCCAGCGAATTCTGTCGATGATTCCTTTGCATTTTGTTCTTAGATGAATTCTTTTCTGCTCAGCCCTACTGTCTACTGGTAGGTGTGCTCAGGTCTCCTGCTCCTTGAAGCTGATCTCAAGAGTGGGCGTTGGTCCAGCTGCTACGACACCCGCGTCCCACCGCTGAGGACCTGAGCTCAAACGTGGCTCCAGCCTTGATGCCGGCTTCCTGCTGTGATGTGTGCCCTGCACGGCAGCAGGCAGTGGTCCAAGTGATGGGGTCCCTGGCGCTCACGTGGGTGGTCCAAGTTGAATTTCTGGCTCCCAACTCTGGCCCCTACTTAGTCCTGGCTGTTGTAGGAACTTGGGGAGTGGGCCAGCTGAGAGACATGAGTGCTTCCCCCGCCCCCCCGCTTCTGTCTCCCTCTCTGTTAAATAAATAATTAGATAGAGCAAGCACCTGAGCGCGTGACCGTGTGTCTCACCTGGGGCCCGTCTCCAAGGTCTTGTCCCTCTGCCCAGCTTGCGAAGCCACCAGATTATGTGTCCTGAGGAGCCACAGAGCTGTGCCGTGCCTCCCTGTGACAGGCATGGTGCAGGTGTGGGTTAGTCTTGGGTGTGGATGGCATTCCACAGGGAGTTTCCATGGGGGTATTGAAGCCAGAGACTGTGTCACTGAATTCCCAGACGGGCTCTGGAGAGGTGGGTTCAGCGCATTCACATTTTCCCCACATGAGGACACAGATCCCCACACTGGTGATGGCTGGGAGCTGGGACCAGGTCGTCTCACCCAAGCCCCGGCTGCTTCCGGCTCCAGTGCAGACCCTGCGTGTCCTGTCTGGGGGCTGCGATGGAGAACTGTGTTCCTGCTGCGTGGTGACCCGGGGCCGTCCCACACAGACGTTGCCCTGCACTTGGTCTCCATGGAGCGCAACACGGAATTGCTGCTGAGCGGACGCGTACAACACTCGCATTTTCATCTGCACAAATAGAAACGCTTTTAAAGGGCCTTGGCTGATTTAATCATGGTCAGTGTTACCGGGGGAAAACAAACTGCCTATGGCTGAGAATCCAGGTCAGGGCAGGGAGCGGCATCCCAGGGGGTTAGGCAGACCCGAGCCCTGGGACACGGCACCTGCAAGTGCCTTGATTTGAGAAGGAAATTAGTTGATCGCAGCAAAGGTGCTCGGGACAAGTCTGCACGCCCGCCCCTTCCCTGACTGTGGGCGTCAGAGATCCGCCTCACACTTCCCCTTCCTCCTCGGTCGCCAGGCAGAACAGATCAGCCTGTTTCTCGATGTCATTGTCACTGAAAAGAGGAAGGGAGGGAGAAAAAGGATAAAACGCCAGCGAGGAAGATGCGCAAACCTACCATTTCTAAGTCAAAACATTGGAATGGGGAAATCGGGGATGAATGATTACTCTGAGGGTGTTCAGTCCCCGTGATGCGTGCGGAGGCTGACGCGCCGCAGGAAGCCGGTGGTTGAGGGTAATCCAGGAGCACACACGTGAACACGCCGTGAGCGGGGAGGCCGATGGATGAGCGAGCTTCGCCTCCGCTCCCTCTCAGGGTTTTCTCGGTAACCGAGAAGCTGTCCTCACCCCCCAGGCAGCTGTCCGTTTAACGGGGGAGGAAAGGGAAGTAAAATTAGCCCACTGGAAGGGGTTTTCAGAGTCTCTGATTGGGTGCTCCTCGGGCTACCACTGCAGTGGGCACGCGTAGAAGACAGTGGCCTGGGAACTCAGGACCCATCTCTGAGAGCCCAGCACGGATGACTCCCTGGAGGCTGGAAGCAGAGGCCTGGGGTGGCGGGGCTGGCAGGGCCGGTGACGGGGCGGTGGCGGCACCTGGCTCGGGAACCCTGCTGGGGAGATAGTGGCCTGGCAGGACGGGGAGCACCTCTCCTGGCTGTGGGCCTCTCGGATGACTCGGGCTCTGAGATTCCCGGCTCAGAGTGGCCGTCAGGGCCCCCCCTACCCAGCTGGGCCACCTTTGCAAATCCGCCTGGAGCTCCGAGAGCAGACACCTCCTTTCTCAAAACGAGGGGATTATGCTCTTGCCCCCTTTAGGTCTGACACCCTGTGATGCTCTCTGGAAGGAGGCAGGCTTTACCACGTCCTGCACAGCCCGGGGCGGCGGCAGTGCCCTAGGACAGCAGATCTGAGTGTGAGAGGCAAACAGGACCCAGCAGAAAGCCTGCCTGTGATTGTGAGCGCATGGGCCACTATTCAATCATTGCTAAGCTCAGTCTCTTCAGTGAGGTGCAACAGTATCTGCTTCATGGTTATGGGCCGCTGGAACAGCACATGCAGCACACCCAGTGTGATGGATGAGCCAGAGCGCTTATCTGTGGGACTGGCGGCCGCAGCCCGGAGAAATGACTGGATTTTCCTCCGTGGAGGTGGCGCTGGGGAACACTTCCCAGACCCCGTTCTGAAACTCCAGCAGTGCAGTGTTAAGTCAGACACCGTGAATGACCACGGTCCTTTGGCAGCGTAAGGGTGGATCTGCAGCTCTCCGGAATCCACACCGACGGGCAGAAGTCCGAGGGAAGCGGGACTTGTTAGTTTGTCTGGTCGAGCTTCATTGTCTCAGGTTGTCTTCCTCTAAGCATGTTTTTGCTTATTGTTTTCTGCTCAGTCACAGGTGCTCGCTGAGCGGGGAAGACCTGAACAGGCAGTGGCTGTCTCCCACGGCTCAGCGGCAGCCCACCGTGTACCACGCCAAAGGCCTCCTCCTCTACCTGAGCAGCATCGGCCGGCGTCCCGTGGTGAGTCGCTGCCCACCCCACCCCGGCACCCTGCCGGCTCCGAGCTGCTTCCTGCCACCCTCCAGGAGAGTGAGCCCACACGTGGCAGGGTGGGGGTGGGGATGGGGTGCCGCTGGAGTCCTGTGGTGAGTCTCTGCCCACCCGGCTCCTGCCACCCTCCAGGAGAGTGAGCCCACACGTGGCAGGGTGGGGGTGGGGATGGGGTGCCGCTGGAGTCCTGTGGTGAGTCTCTGCCCACCCGGCTCCTGCCACCCTCCAGGAGAGTGAGCCCACACGTGGCAGGGTGAGGGTGGGGGTGGGAGTGGGGGTGGGGTGCGGCCGGCGTCCCGTGGTGAGTCGCTGCCCACCCTACCCCAGCACCCTGCCGGCTCTGGGCCGCTTCCCGCCACCCTCCAGGAGAGTGAGCCCACACGTGGCAGGGTGGGGGTGGGAGTGGGGATGGGGTGCAGCCGGCGTCCCGTGGTGAGTCTGCCCACCCGGCTCCTGCCGCCCTCCAGGAGAGCGAGCCCACAGGTCGGGGCTGGCACAGTGCCTAAGGCACCCTTCGGGGCTCTGCATCCCACATTGGAGTGCCTGGGTTCGTGCTCCAGCCCAGCTCTCCATGCCGGCTTCCTGTTATTGCACACCCTTGGAGGAAGCAGGTGATGGCTCGAGTCCTTGGGTCCCCACCACCCACTTGGAAGTCAAGGATAGGGCTCCTGGCTCCTGGCTCTGGCAGGCGTTTGGAAAATAAGCAAGTGGAAACGAGATCTCTCTCTCTCCCCCTTAAATACCATAGATTAATATTTATAAAGGGAAAAGAAAACCGGACTTAGGCACAGCCCTGGTGTGAGAAGCTCGTGTGGGGCGGGGGAGTTGCCTTGGTTTCCTGTGGCTGCCACAGCAGACAAGTACACACGGCACGTCTTAAACACCGGAAACCGGCGCTCTTTGCTGCTCTGTCTGCTCGCCGGAGGGGCCGCCTTTGCCTCTGACGGGTCCTGGCGGTGGCAGCACTGTTGCTGCTCCTTGGCTGTGAGACCCCCCCCCCCCAGACTCCCCCGTCCACGAGGCCGTCTTCCCTCTGTGTGCGTCTCTCTCTGGTGCCCGTTTCTAATAAACGTCACTCAGTGCGTTAGGCTCAGCCCAGCTCGGCAGGGCCCCGCTGTGGCTTTAGCTCTAGTGCAGAGAACGGATTTTCAAGCAAGGCTGCACTCCCAGGGATGAGGGGTTGCAGCTCCACGAGGCACAGTTCATTCCACAACAGGGCAAACCTTGGGTTCAGTGTGCACTGGTGAAAACTGAGCCAGGAATTTTACTTCATGCCACTTTCTTGGTCTTTACTTGCCTGCTTTTCAGTTATTGGGCAAGGAGGAAAATCACACACCGTTGAGCAGCACGTGGAGAAATCTCCAGGTGTTCCTGTCCACGTGCCAGGGCTTAGTGAATTCTCAAGGCGGTTCTGCCGCGGTGCGAGGTACTCACGTGTCCAGGGTTTTCTCCTAAGGCTGCTGTGCCGTGGGATCGACGAGAGAAACCAGAGACTTCGGCTCAAGACAGGAAGAGGCACAGCCAAGTAGCCGTGCAAATGCTGGCTGCAAAGTGTGAACACGCCCGTGGGTGCAGCCGGGAGTGGGAAGCTCACAGAATTCGCCCACTCAGTCATCTGCGCCGTGACCGCCACCACTGTGTGACCAAACGGTGCACCAGTGACCGCTGGGAGATGGATGCATACGAGGTGCACAGGCTGACTTAGCCTCAGAAGAGATGAAGCGGCCAAATGTTTGCCAAGAGGCCACTAGAAGTGCCACAGCAGAGTTTGATTCCACCCTGGAGTCCACCTCCCTCCAGCGCGCGACCTTTGAGGGTCCCCAGACCAATCCGGTCACTGATTCTCTAGAAGCCGTCACAGAACCCAGGGTGCTGCCGTACGTAACCATGGCAGCCGGTGCAGTGAGGCTGTGCAGGAAAGTCACAGAGGGAAAAGGCTGGATGGCGGGGTCATGGAGCAGCAGGTTCAGGATCCTGGGAGTCCCCTGTCAGGGGGGACGTCTGGGCAGGGCTTCCCTCTCCAGCAGCAATGCGGTACCAGCCTGAGAGCCCCCCCCAAAGCCTGGAGTCCAGGACTTTTACTGGGGATCTGTTAGGTAGCCCTGAGGCCCCACGCGACCGATCCTAATAACTGCCTCTCTAGAGGTCAGCCTGCTACCCGGGAGCCCGGGGTGGCCACTGTCACTGCTAGCATCGGTCATCTGAATGGCCCGCGTCCTCGGGGAAACAGAGCCCCCTCGGATGCCAGGGAATACCCCAGGGGTATAAAGCCTGCTCTCCGTCTCCCACCAAGGGCCCCGCCCTTCTTTGAAAGGTGCGCCGCACTCAGTAGGTCACCCCCCCATTGCACTGGTGACGAAGCTGGCGTTTTCTCCCTGGGAATACTGGGTCTGCACTGGTAAGGTGGGCGGAGTTTCCGTGGCAGCTCCCTCCCCGTGGCTGCCAGGCACTGCATTCGCAGCTGGCCTTCGCTGGGGGCAAGCTCAGGAGCTGCTTAGCAGGGCCCCCTCTCAGAGGGGAGGCCCGGAAGGGGAGCTTCAGCCTCCGGGAGGGGACAGAGACTCGGAAGGAGAGAACCGTCTCCCGCACATGTAAACCCACACGCGTTCCGCTCACAACAGAGCAGGAAGCCTCTGCGCTCTGACAATCTCTCATTGAAGAGTGGAACGTTTATTTTAAAGCGTGACAGGTGAAAGCCTTGTTTAAAAATATAAATAAACATTAATTAGCTACCAACATGACAGCCGCAGACGTGTTCCCTGCTGGGACCATCTGAGTGGTGGGTGAGAAACAGCTGAGCACTAAATGCTGTTCACGGTGTCACCGAGCTCTCCGGCAGGCTCAGCGTCACCTCCCAGTCACCCACAAAGCTGTATTGGAGCAGCCCCCTGCCGGCACCAGAGACACTGCCACTCACTCAGCTCCCGGCCTGTCCAGCCCCGGGGGTCTCCACTGTGCTGGACTGACTTAGGGCTGCATTGTCGGGATTAGCTGTAGCCGACCTCTGTCTCGTGTACGGTGTTTTCTGGAGTGCTGGGAAGTCCCTCCTGCGGTTAGGATGTCACCTGTCCTAGATGCCCCTCAGGTGGCTTCCTCCTGCTGCGCAGGGTAACACAAGTGCCCAGCACCCGTGAGACTGCGGGGCCGTAGGAGAGAGTGCCCAGGAGTTGCTCAAGACCAGAGAAGCCGTTCAGTTCGTGGCCATGTGGCCGTATTCGCGCACTGTTTCTCCCACCCATCTGCCTGCCTGCCACCCTTCGTTCATTCACCCACCCACCCATCGTCCAGCCATCGTCCGTCTGTCCGTCCTCCCAGCCACCTCTCCGAGCCCGTATCCGTCCTCTGCTCATCCTTCTGTCTTTCCACCCACCCTCCCATTTGAGAAGTCCTCCACCTGTCTCTCCATGCACAGCCTGTGTGACATCGGCGTGCTGGGGACCAGGGACAGAGGAGGATTGAGAGATTGTCCTTTTCTTGGAGGAGCTCAGTTTACTTTGATGGGAAGGGGGGTCAGGTCTGCAAAGAAACCGGTGCGGTACAAAACCGTAGCGAAGGCTCGTGGGAGGTGTTGCTGGGACACAGACGGTTGGGTCACTTCATCTCAGGATTCTGGGAAGGCTGGAGGCTGGAGGGGCCGTCTGCTTGAAGACGGCTGAGCCTTTCCCTCTGTTTTCACACAATCTGTTAACTGGGCTGCACCTGCCAACAGGCGTGGCTTTCAGAGCTATTATGTTGACTGGAAGATTCCGCGCGCCAGTGACAGCATGCTCTGAGCCCCCACGGATGCGAGGCGCGAGGTCAGGACAGGTGACTGTTAAGATGGGAATTAGGGCAGTGGTTGCCCCGGGAAGGGGATCGCGTGAAAGGGCGTCGGGGCCATCAGACTCACTGAGTGCGGGTGAGATCTGCGCTTTTCACCAGAGGCACACACTTAGCTAAATGCAGACAATTAAAACCCAATAAAAAAGAGCGAAGTTCTACGGCTTTAAAATGAGACTGGAAGACAGAGGAGGCCGCCCCCAAAACACCGACTGGCATGGAGAATACGCGGCAGGGCAAGAGGGACATCTGTGCCCAGGGCAGGAAGACTGTGAGACCACCGGCCTGCGGAAGACACCAAGGAGAGCCCGAGGCGCAGAGGGGCCGCCCACCAGCCAGCAGGGGGCGTGAATCCTGGGTACGGAGCTTCCTGCTGGAGGCAGGGGGCTGCGTGGGCTCTGCGGTGGAGTAAGAGCCCAGAGGGCGCGAGGCCAGGGAGGCCAGGGCAGCCCTGTGAGGTGCCACATGGCCGCTGGCCTGGCCCCGAGCCGCCGTGAAGAGCTGGGCTTCAGAACCGGGCCACGGGATCGATGCGGGCGCTCTTGGCGCGCCGTGGGAGCGCGTGGTGGTGAAGGGTTGCACTGCTCTTTGAAGGGCTCATTGATTTCCTTTTACAGCACACACAGCCCGGCTGCCTCCCGCCGCGGCGAGGGAGCGCGGGTTTTGGTTGTGTCTTTCTCTGGGGCCCAGTGGAATAGCATTTTTAGCTACTTAAATGATTTTTCTGGTCTTATTTTGTCCCTCAGGCATGTGTTTTTAGCTAATCGGCTTCTTTAGAAGAGGCACAAAAGGAGAAGGAGAGGGACGGAGTGTCCCCTCCTGAACTATCGCCAGGGCCACGCGGGCCCCGCACTCGGTTTTCTCCGGGTTGTGCTCCTCAGAAGGGGCAGAAGAGCAGTCGAGTTTTGCTAATTTTACTTATTTTTCTTGACTCACGCTAATGTTCCTACGTCTAGGACTCCCCTCTTTCTGCATTTGAGGATACGTCAGGGCAAGAGTAGCCCAGAACTCTGCGGCTGCAGGCCGGGGACCCATGGGGTTCTGGCTGAACTGTTAAATGGAGTTCTGTGTGTGTGTGTGTGTGTGTGTGTGTGTGATTCAGAACAGTCCGTGCCATCAGCGTAGAGCTGAACGCTCCTATCCCAGGCTGC